TATAAATGAATATTACTGTGATATAAAAATTATTGCAACATAAAATAGTATTAGTATATGTCAGTATAAATATAAAACATGATAGGTACATGAATATAAATGTAATAAATGAATTTTATATAAAATATATATGTGAATTCTATTTTACTATAATATATAAAATAAAATATAACAAATTACATTGTAATTTGCAGCTATAATTTGGTTTGTGATATTATATAACATTATCTTGGTATAAAATATGTAATAAAGATTTGTAACTTGTAATAGGGTTATTATAATTATATAGAAAATAAAATAAATTATAATAAGGTTATAGTATAATGCCAATCAAAATTATAAAGCATACCTTCAAAATTATTTAGTGAGAGGTAGAAAAACTGTGAACAAGAAGAACGATAAGAGTTGCTCCAGAAGATATTTAACATTTGTTCTAAGGCTCAGATAATTCAAGGAAGGCAACAGGCTTAGGAGTTACAAGGCAGATCATTAGAAGAAGAAAGGCTGTGCAGAACTAAACAGTCACATCTTAAACACATAAGTGGATGGGAACATTCCTTCTAAGCATCAGCGATGGAAGAGACTATGAAAGAAAGTGCTTGGTAATTGACAATGCAAAAGTGCAAACTTCTAATAAGTCTGTCAAAACACAGCCAACGAACGTTAAAAAAAAAACTACAACAAAATAAACTTAAAAAAAAATTTTTAAGGGGAAACTGGGTGGCTCAGTGGGTTAAGTATCCAACTCTTGGTTTCGGCTCAGGTCATGATCTAAGCCTGCTTGGGATTCTCTCTCTCTCCCTCTCTCTCTGTCCTTCCCTGCTTGCAGTCTCTCTCTCTCAAAATAAATAAACTCAAAAAGAAGTAAAAACACAACTACAACAAACGCAATGCGTGAGGGTAGATACATTCAGTATATATTAAAGTTCATTTATTTATTTTTTTAAATTTTTTTAACGTTTATTTACTTTTGAGACAGAGAGAGACAGCGCATGAATGGGGGAGGGTCAGAGAGGAGACACAGAATCTGAAACAGGTTCCAGGCTCTGAACTGTCAGCACAGAGCCCGACGCGGGGCTTGAACTCACGGACCGCGAGATCATGACCTGAGCCAAAGTCGGCCACTTAACCGACTGAGCCACCCAGGCGCCCCTCATTTATTTATTTTTGAGAGAGAGAGAGAGACAGAGAGAGAGAAAAAGAGAGGACACGCACATGTGGGGGAGGAACAGAGAGAGACACAGAATCTGAAGTCTCTGAGCTGTCAAGAGCCTGACGTGAGGCTCGAACCCATGAACCATGAGATCATGACCTGAGACGAAGTTGGCCATTTAACCGACTGAGCCACCCAGGCGCCCCAATAAATTCGGTATACAGAACTGTTTCTGTTAGCGTAAAAATGAAACTATAAAAAATGCAATCCTGGAGGAAGGTCAAATAAAGTGACTATTCAAAGAACTGTCCACAGGTAATACACATCCTGACAGAAACTTAACCATCAAATAAGTGAGCTTAAAATTCTCTTCCAGCCAGAAAGTCATTTGCCAAATGTGCCTTTTGTTTGTTGCACAGGGAAACACTGTTTCCCCTATCTGCGGTGCAAATACAAACAATGAATTCTCAGATCAAAAAAATACCTGCAAAGTTAAAAACATCGTCTGAACAATCCCAACCTCATATACTGCCGGTGGGAGTGAAAAATTGGAATGATTTTCTGAAAACTCAATTTGGCACTAATCTCTTCTAGGAACTTACGTTAGGAAACACAGAAGATAGGAATGCATATAACAACTTATTTATAAGAGTAAAAATCCAGAAACCGCTTCTATAATAGGATAATATGATACTCAGATAAATGGGGGTGCGTCCATGTGTTGAACAGCCATTCAAATGAGGTTTTCTAAACTCCATTAGTTGCACAGAAAAAAAGTAATGATACAGCGTGGCAGCACGTGTTAGGAAACTTGAACACGAATGTGACGGGGGGGGGGAAGGGAAGGCAAAACACACGAAAAGGTTGACATTGACGACACTTGAAAATTCATGGTGCAATTCCTTTGCTTCTGCCACTATGTGCCATCCAAATCCCCCACAGGAATCAGGTATTATGTTCACTGTTCGTGAATGGGCGTAAAGCCCGTCTGCTCATTAGGTCACGGGACATTCAGATCAAGGTTATATTGGTCAGCCTCCCATGCAGCTAGAGGCAGACGTGTGACAACTCGGGTCAATGGGAAGTACAATTTCTGCGTCACATCAAAATAAGGCAAGCCGCTTGCCCTGGGTTTGGGTTCTTTCTACTTTCCATGAGCCGGACTAGAAAGTCAATTTCAACCATCCAGATGAGGCAAACTCACAAGTGAGTAAGTGAAATGCTGGAAAGACTCGGAATCCTTGGATGACCTTGGGCTCCATCATAGCCCACCATCATGAATTGTTAGTGGAGGAGCGAAAAACACGTCTGGTCTGAGCCACTGTAATTTGGGGTCTGAGTTACAGTAGTTTAACATGGGGTCTAAGGAATACGTGCTATTCATATTCCAAACACGCTTTATAAATCTTTTTTTAATGTTTATTTGTTTTTGAGAGAGATAGAGAGACAGAGTATGATCAGGAGAGGGGCAGAGAGAGGGAGACACAGAATCCGAAGTGGGCTCCAGGCTCCGAGCTGTCAGCACAGAGCCTGATGCGGGGTTTGAACTCACGAACCATGAGATCATGACCTGAGCCCAAGTTGGATGCTTAAGTGACTGAGCCACCCAGGCGCCCCAAAATAAGCTTTATAAATCTTTTTGTGCAAACATATCTTTCTCTGTTTCTTTAATAAGTTCCAATTTAAAATTTTCATGAGTGCATCGTAGGTGTTCTAATTAAAGTGGGAGAACATGAAGTTTTCTCTATCGCATCCTTATGCATCTCAGATGAACAGAGATCCAAATAACAACCGATCTTAATTACGACCTTGGAGTAACGACGTGGTAATTTCAACTGAGTTGTTATTAGCTGTCAAACAAATAAGGTCTAAACAGCAGGTGGGTTACCATGACATCTCTGCCCAGAGGGCAAAGACTGAGAGATTTTGAGGACTTTCAGCAGCAGGAAGAACATCCAATGCCAGGTGCTCTACAGCAGTGAAATAATCTGTGACTATTTACTCTAAGAATGAACACCGTGCTTCCTTCGGGTGGTCAGGCTGGCTGGAACAGAGCTCTCTCTGGTCAGGGGCGCGAGGAGTCAAGGGCTTAGCATGGAGCATACGGTACAAGCCCACGGTCCTCTAGGTAAGGAGTGAGAAGAGGAACAGAGACAGGACCTCAAAATTAAGGGGAAACTGTGCAATTTGGAGACTTTTCAGCTGCAGGCAGCTGTCTCAGAAGCACAGAATCAGTCACTGGCTGCTGCGCTCTCCATTAATCGTGAGTCATTTAGATCTTTGTATTGCATGAATGTGGGCAGATTTATAGAAATGAAGACACATCGTTAATGTGAAACCGCATTAACGGGAGGACGTAGGACAGAAATTACAGTGATGTACGGTCTTCCTGAGAACTGTCTGTAATAATCATACGCTATATGGAAATCAAAAGGGATTTTTAACGTGACCCCCACTTTATCCACTCTTAGAACCCACATATGAAAATGAGGCCTTAACAAATACCGGCCTGATAAATGCAGGAATGCAGAGAGTTTCCAGAATTGGCACAGCCAGAGGATCGTTTTAAGCAAAAACGTACGTATATTATAAGGTAGAGGGTTTGCCACATTTGTTTCATTTCAGTGTGACATTTTATTTTCTGAAAAGAAACAGAACCAAGACAAAAGTCAAGGGCAGGACTTCTGGCTACGGCCAAGTGAAAAACCTGGCACATCTTTTCCCCCCAAATCAACTCGAAAGCCGGACACAATGGACAAAAACAACCATTTCAGAATGTTGGAAACTGTCTGGAAGGATGCAACGGTCTGAGAAACGTTTACCGCTGACGAACAGCTGCACGGCCAGCTTTACACATGTGCGTCTACTGGCAGGACAAGGCAGCCCACGAGGATCGGGAGCTTCTCTGCACTCAACTGGGACCCATACCTGGTGACGCCGTCAACATCAGTGACTTGTGTAGAGCCCAGCAGACAGGAAGGGCCAAGAGCTCCAGTATCTGGCCTGACAGTGCCTGCATTAGCTCATGTGTCACTGGGGCACGCGCCTAGCCTACTGAGGCTGCACGTACACGCGGTAGAGGCCACAGAGGGGCCACGCCAGCCACATGCCCCACATGAACCCAGAGGCTAGCCACACGCACATCCAGAGCCCAACGGCACCCTGGAGAAGGCAAGACTGGGCCACGTGAGGAGGTCTGAAAGGGGAACATCCTCCCCTGGGCACACACGGACCCATCGGCAGAGGACAGATCGGGGCTGGCGTCAGGTGGCTGAGGGCCGCCTCTGTCTATGTAATAATAGCAGGTGGCTTCGAGGCATCCGGGCTTCACAAAATGAGGACAGAATTTAACACACAAACTGAAGAGCGTCACTGGGAGCTACTCACTGCCGGGGAAAGAGATTCCGCAGATTCATCCCAGGCAGAGACACGCAGACAGACACACGAAAGAGACAGACAAACCAAGAAGAAGAAAACCAAGAAAAAAAAAATAATAATAAATAAATAAAAAAACGTGGCAATAACGACAACTTTTGGGGAAGGAGAAGAATCAGAAACCAGAGAGGCTACGATTTATTAAATATTGTGAAATACTGAGTTTTCAACAACAACAACAACAAAACTATAACATGTAAGATTAACAAGAAATTGTTATCCATACCCAGGGAGAAAAGCAGTCAGCAGAAACTATTCCTAGTTGCCCCTAAATGCTAGATTTAGCAGAAAAAAATCTTCAATGAAGCAACTCTATGTATGTTCGAAGCACTAAAGGAAACAATGTCTAAAGAATGTTTTTTTAGACGACAATAGAGTTTCTGAAGTAGACTGAATTTTTTTTTAAAAATATCAAATGAATTTTTTTGTTGTTGAAGAGTATAAATGAAAGGAAAATTTCACTATGGGGCCCGCGGCAAATCTGGGTAGCAGAAGAAAGCATCAGTGAACCTGAAGATTATCGAATCTGAAAAGAGGAAAACAAATATTTAAAAGAAATGGGACAGAAACACAGATCTGCAGGATACCATTGTACATGCACAGAAAGTACCAGTGTGTGGAAAAGGAAAGAAAAGATAGAAAGAGCCAGAAAAAAATATTTGAATAAACAACTACCAAAATATCAACACAGTAGGTGAAATGCATTAACCTACACATCCAAGAAGCGCCATGAACCTAAGGAAGGATACCCGGAGGGAAGTGCATCTGGACACACTGGGGTTTAACCGTGAGAGTCGGAGAGAAAAGTCCTGAGAGGCACAACCCAGAACGACCCAGGATGTACCAGGAAGCATCAGAAGGGATGCTGCCCAGCTTCTTCTATGAGACAACGTAGGTGAGAAGACAGAGGTGACACGATCATCTGGACAATGTGAACGAAAATCACACTTCACTAGGGTGGCTACAATCAAAAAGACAGAGTGTTGACAAGAATCTGCACAAACCAGGAGCTTCATCATTGTTCCTGGGAATATAAGACGATGAAGCCACATTGAAACACAACGGTGTTCTGTGATTTCTTAAAGCGTTAATCACAAACTTACCACACGACCCAGCCATCTGACCCCTAAGACACTGTCCAAGACAGATGAAAGCATATGTCCGTACAAAGACATTTATAAGACTGCTCACAGCACCTTATACTGGAAACAATCCAAGGGACTATTGGCAGGGGAAGACCAGACAAATGAGGTCTGGCCACACAGCAAGCGAAAGAAGCCAGATACAACAGACTTATGATCTCGTTGGCATGAAATATTCAGAAGACACATTTGAGCTAAAGAGTCTGGGACTTTGCACGGGGATGATCTGAAAACAAACGTTGAGAACACGTTGGAAATGCCCTAAACTGGATTACGGTGACAGGTGCACAGAACTCTCATTTTCCTAAATAAAACCCCCCAAAAAACAAAAAAATCATTGAATGGTACACTTAAAGTGGGTAAATTATAGGGTATGTAAATTACATCTCAGAAAAAAAAAAAAACCTGTTTTAAGAACTGGCAGTGTTTCAGGGCCCCTGGGTGGCCCATTCAGTTGAACAGCTGACTTCAGCTCAGGTCATGATCCCATGGTTCATGAGTTCGAG